AACAGAAGATTCTCAATCGCAAAAGACTATAATACCATGTTAAAACAGATTGGTCTCAATACCTCGAGTTGTTAAGAGAAGTTTTATTATGGATCATTATGTTAGTAAGTGGTACATGATCTATAATTGAGCTTCTTTCAACAACTCGAGTTATTGGGGTCAATTAGTTCTTGACATAGTGACATGGTATCGTACATAGTCTTTTGTGACTGATCGAGATGTCTTTTGTTCGAATTTCTATAAGGCACATCTATTCTGTTAAGCACATGGTCGATATCTGGACCATGGAGGAGTTAAATTGAAACTACGAGGGGCTACCCCTACTCAAATTTTGAAATATAGATAAAATTACATGTAAATTTCATAACAAATTTAGGAAATAATATAGCCGATAAGGCTTTAGCCCCTAGCCCAATTATCATGGTTCAAATCAGCCCTCATCATTCAGATTTCTGACTCCGTCGCTGATCGAACTTGTGCTAATTTGAAACCTGTCTATGATGGCTCTTGTTTGAGGGGTATGTTAGTGAGTGATATATTCATAATTGAGCAGTCTGAGCTTGTTCCAACAACTCGAGTTATTAGAACCAACTAAGTTATTTTTTATATCATTACCACAGATTAGGGAGCACTTCTACTATGCTATATAGTATTGGTGCTTTAATGTACAACTTAAAGTTGTACCATAACATTAAATGCATAAGTTTAGGTTGTACCATAAAGGAATTTGTATCATTATGTTATGGTACAACTTTACAACTTGAAGTTGTACCATCACATAAAGGTACAAGTTCAAGTTGTACCATAAAAAAAATTGTACAAAAGGTAATCTGAAATTGTATTATAACGTAAAGGTACAATTTCAAGTTGTACCATAAAGACAAAAGCCTATAGCACCAATACTATATATCATTGTAAAATTCCTCCAGATTAGGTACCATTCATGCTATAATAATACTTTACTATACTCGAACAGGTGCTGGAGCACATGGCGAGTGGCGTTTCAGAGCTGGAAGAGATGGTGGCAAAGAAAGGAGGGGATTACTACAAAGCTACATCAGACGCCGGCGCCGGAGTCCCGTGTCACGAAAAGAGCTATAAAAAAGCTGCAATGGGAGATGATGATGGTGAATTGAAGAAGAACGTGAGCAGTATTACTGCTAGTGGGAGGTTGCAGACGGTGATAACGGACGAATGGGAGGTGTTTGACGATGATAATGATCGAGATTCCGTCGGTACTTACGGTGATTTGTTGTCGATATGTGATGTTGTGTCGTCGCCGCCGACGAATCCATTTGAGATGCCGGACGATCAGCTGATGGATCTGCTATCGACTCTGCCCACGCCTATTCATGAACAACACCAGCTTCAAATGTATAAACAAGATGAGCTTCCTGATTTGATTAGCTTCTGATTAAATCGGTTTGATTAATTATTATTAGTTGCCAGGCCAGTGCTGCATGCAACCGATCGAAGAGATATTCAGCTTAATTCATCATTGATTAATGAATGATGTACATTTTGGCTGAATCAGGTCATTTTTGTTTCTTTCCTCAATCTTTTTCTCCCTATTCCATCTTTAATTTGATGGAATTATAAAAAAAATATTGTGACATGATCATGTCGTTAGATTATCAAGAACTCCTTGTTTCGTTAACTTTCGAAATCAAAATAATTGATTTTCTCAATCGTCAAGGTTAAAAGAATCGCTCTTTTGATCATTTCCTCATATGTACTAGCGGGCAGCGATAGCATTCAAATAATGCCCTTTATTTTTCATGTTTTCTTGAGAGAGATCCAAGAATATAAATTTGATGATATTCTCTTCTTTATTTTAAATCAAAATCAATCTATAACAACTTACCTTTTGGAGTTTGCACAGGACTATCTTATGTTCAAATTAAATGTTAATTTATTAAAAACTTGAGGAGTTGACGACTATAAAGACCTTTTATAAAGGAAGTGTTGAGAAAACAAGAGGGAAAAAAGAGTTAAATAGTTCACTAACACAATATGTACTAGCTGCTACAAGTGATAGAAGAAAATGTTTCACTATTCTTGAGGATAGAATACATATTTCATATTACATAAGAGTTTCCACGCAATGTGTATATAGAAATATTCTCTTACATGAAGAAAATGATAACAAAATCAAATGCACCCTGTAGAACTCATATATCGTTTCATAACGAACTCAAGACATTTCAACGGGAGCGAATCAGGTCAGTAACTCTTATGGTGAGTAACCATTAGTAACCTGTCCACATCCGCATGACATCAACATCTCCTCTCTACTGGAAAGTCTTTTATCTTTTCTCCTTTAATCTTTAACGGATGATTTCTCTCCCTTTTTAAGTCAAAATTTCATTTTTTTTTTTTTGCACAGATAAATCAGATTAAATGTGCTTTTTAAAATGATATCCACTTTGATATATTTTTAGTACAAAAAAAATTGAATAATTTTTTACCAGTCATTACCATATGGTATGCTCATATTTAATACCATATGGTAAACGTACCATGATGGTATGAACATACCAATATGGTAAGAAGGTTGAATACATGATAGTAGAAATATACTAACTGTCATTTACGACTTTCATCATTGTTTACCACAAGTTACCACCCCACATATCATAGTGGTAAAGTATGGTAATTTTTGGTCCAGTATTTTATTCACCCAGAAATTTGTAGATCCAATAGATCATGATGAACTCGTTCCTTCTGAGCAAACGTTTTCAAAAACGACTTAAAAATGAAGAAGTTACCATATGGTATGTAGTTGGTAAAAAAAAGTTTCTCGAAATATATTGAAAATTGATCTCATTTTATAGAGCACAACGAACTCGTTCCATGTGTGCAAAAAAATTGAAATCCGAGTTAAAACGAAGAAGATATGAGCCGATTATGAAAACTAGAGAAAATAAAATGTCTTTAATTGACAACCCTTAGATCTGGATTTTCTGGACCCACTTAGATCTAAAGGTCCAGATTTAGTTATTCATAGATTAGTAAGAGCATCCACATTGGTATTGCATTCTCAATTGCAAAATGACATGGCATAGGTGTTTGCAATTGCAAAACCAATTTCATTGATGTGGCTACCAATTGCATATTTGCAAGCTTGCAACAAATGCAATTCCATATGCAAGTCCAAAAAGCCTTAAAAAATGGGGATTTTTTTCGGGCTTAATTGCAAGTTTGGTCACCCGAATTGCTTAAAAATTTCACGTTTGCCACCCGAATTGATTTATTCCATTTATAGTCACTCGAATTAGCTGAACAGTCCAAGTTCGGTCACTCTCCGTTAACCTCCGTTAGACTCCGTTAATGACGACCGTTAAATGATGACGTGGCTAACAGAAAGACACAGTCAGCACATTTAAACATTAAAAAACGACAACCCGACCCGACCCGACCCGCCAGCTCAGCCCTACCCGCCCAATCAGCCATTTTTGCCCAACCCGCGAACCAACCCAATTAATTGACCCTAAACCCAAACCCGAGACCCAAACCCCCCTGAAAAGTAAATCGCAGATGGATTAGGGCATTTCCTTTCCTCCATCTTCATCCTCTCATCGCTCGTCGACGATTACAACCGTCGGTCCCCTAATCGGAGCAGCATCCGTAGCTTCTTGGCTCGCCGGGGTTCGACGCATTCCATCTCGAAAGTCGCCGCAGTCCAGATACGTGGACTCAATCCGATGGCTTCCGTCCGTCTCCCCACTCCAGCAATCCGCCATCGTGGCCTTCTTCGACACTGACGCCGACTCACCTTCTCTGGAAGTCCACTCCCTGGACCAAGAATTCGAAGACGCTCGATCTCGTCTCCTCTTGGGCTCCTCCCTCCCGCATTTCCTCGCTGAAATGTACTCAAGCCTTCGCCGTCGCTTCCACAGTCTCCGGCTCGCTCCACGTCTTCAGCGCCACCGAAGCGCAGGACCCCTCGTCGGCGTTCCGGTCGGAGGTTTCCGTGGACGCGGATGGGAAAGGGTTCCACGTCGGGCGGATCGCCGGGGTGGATTTGATGGACGGCGGGAGCAACGAGTGCGTCAGCGTTGGGGAGGACGGGCGGGTGAATTTGGTTAGGGTTTTGGATGGGAGGATGCGTCGAACCCCGGCGAGCCAAGAAGCTACGGATGCTGCTCCGATTAGGGGACCGACGGTTGTAATCGTCGACGAGCGATGAGAGGATGAAGATGGAGGAAGGGAAATGCCCTAATCCATCTGCGATTTACTTTTCAGGGGGGTTTGGGTCTCGGGTTTGGGTTTAGGGTCAATTAATTGGGTTGGTTCGCGGGTTGGGCAAGAATGGCTGATTGGGTGGGTAGGGCTGAGCTGGCGGGTCGGGTCGGGTCGGGTTGTCATTTTTTAATGTTTAAATGTGCTGACTGTGTCTTTCTGTTAGCCACGTCATCATTTAACGGTCGTCATTAACGGAGTCTAACGGAGGTTAACGGAGAGTGACCGAACTTGGACTGTTCAGCTAATTCGAGTGACTATAAATGGAATAAATCAATTCGGGTGGCAAACGTGAAATTTTTAAGCAATTCGGGTGACCAAACTTGCAATTAAGCCGATTTTTTTCATTTCTCTTTTACTTAATATTTTATAATTTAAACATAATATTTAATTATATTTGCAATTGCAAGTTAATTGCATTGATGTAGATGAATGAATGTGATGTGGATTGCAAAATATTTGAGTTGACAATAAAAAACACAAATGCAATTTCTTATTGACGAAGATGCTCTAACCAATGTTTACTCACCCATTCCTAAGCCCATTTCAACAGAAGTACTTTAGAAAAAAAGGAAAAGAGCACCGAAAATAGGGGGTGGAAACTGGAAAGTATGAAATGTCCCTCGTTCAACTTTCACTGTATATAGGGAGGGAGGGTCGATCCCACATTACTCTTCCTTTTCTTTTCTTTTCTTTCTTATAGGGTTCATCTTTTCATGCCTCTCACATCTCTTTATCCTCCTATTGCTGCTTTCAGTCTTTCACACAATCTTTTCCCCTGTTGGAGCCGCCTCCCTCCCTCTCTCTCTCTCTCTCTCTCTCTCTCTCTCTCTCTCTCTCTCTCTCTCTCTCTCTCTCTCTCTCTCTCTCTCTCTCTCTCTCTCTCTCTCTCTGCAAAGAGTACTTTGGGGAGAAGGCAGGTGGAGGAGGAAGGAACGATGATGTGCCAATTAGTGAAGGAGGTGAAGGGCAGCAATGGGGATTTAGAAGAAGAAGAAGAAGTGTGGCCGGTGGAACACCCGATGGAGCCAATGGAGGAAGACCGTCCTGTCATATGCCCAATTCCTACCTCTACTCTTCTTCCTCAAGTAAGCCATAAAAATTATATACTCGTACATATATCTTTCTCATTCCCCTTTTAAGCTAGAGTTAGTAAGTAAAACCTAGTTGGTGCTCTCAAGTTGAATCAGCCAACATTGATAATAATGGTATGTAGATGGGGTGATCAAAACTAGACCTTGCAAACTGGTTTGTTAACTTTTGGATGGAGATTAATGAAAGCAATCATTTTGTTACAAAATTTCAAAATTTATGTTGTTATACCGTTTTGGGAGAACAAACTTGCACAACCACTTTATACACATATTAAAAGATAAGAGACCATTTTGAATAATTAATCGATAGATCAAAAATCAAAATTGTCCCCTTCTGCCATTGTTTAATTTGTTGTATATTGTTTTAACTGAGCTAATATATGCAGGGAGGAAGAAGTTATGGTCAAAAGAAGAAGGTGGAAAGTTGGAAAAAGAGAGCACAGAATCCAGTGGCAATAGCAACAATGCCAATTATGATCAACAATAATATGGATAGGCTAGAAGTGGCAGAGGTCGATGAGAGTATTGGAGTAGTTCGTAAGCGTCATCATACACTTAGCAGCCAGAAAGTAGATGATTATCGTAGTAATAATCATCATCCAACTAGTGAAGATGGATTGAGAAGGATGGCGACTTTACCTCTCCCATCAAACAACAATGTTGCTAATACTATCTTTCATATGCTTCAACGTGATTTTTAGTTATAAGTTTCTCTCAACTTTACTCTCTTAGTTCCCCACTTTTTATATATAAGAGGTTGCCCCCCAGCTCCAAGGTTTTGAGTATAAGAGATTGTGTGATAAGAAAAAAATTACAAAATGATTGTTGATGAATATGATGTTTGAACTTTCCCCTAATACGATAGTCAAAACTAACCTACTATACTCTTTTGATATCGAGTACTGATGTAGTGATGTCAGAGGCTTATCTTAATAGTACTCTTATTAGTAGATAATCCAGATAATCGACTTCACATGTGGAGGGTGTCACTAATGCTTGTTTCCTTGAACTATTAAACGACACTAAATAGGTTGGATGTATGTGTAAAGAAAAAGTAAAATAATTCTATTTCAATTACATGTAAAGCTACTAACTAGTGTGAAATGTGAATGTTAACCAAACCTTTTATCCAATTTTATGATCAACAATTCAAACTCAAAAGAACCCATATCCTATCCTAAACTAATTAACTCATATTGTTACCATTATTCATGGGATTAGGTAAGGTACCCATGGTTGGGTTGAAGGAGAACAAAAAGAACAATCCATATGCATTAGTAAAGTTTAGTGGCTAGTTTGCACCTTTTATAAAATTCAGCAACCAATTGTGGGACTTACTGAAAGTCCAGTGACTAATAGCGCACTTGTAAAATTTTTATTTTTTAGTTTTTACTCCCCTGGTACCGCCTGCAACCCCAGACCAACTAATCAAACTTAGCCAGAGGAGATTACCAGAAAGAAACAAAGTGGATGATTGGGAAGGTAAGGTTTAGGGAAGGGTTTTAAGTCGGCTGCTGTCCACTCCAATCTCCATGAACTCCTCATCACTACACTTCTTCTCCATCTCTTCCCCCTCTCCATCTCCTTCCGTCTTCTATCCCTTTGAATTGCATTCTACCTTCTCCAGCTTCTTTGATGTCCAATACTAAACCCCCCTTTCTCTCTTTAAGAGAAATCGATCACTTCATCTTCTTCAATACAACGCCGTCAGTTCTCTCTTCATCCCCGCCTATGTCCCCCACGGTTATGTGGAGAAACGGTGCCAAACAAGCCATCTGCAAAACCCACAGAAGGGCATTGAGTTCGTCGGCTTCATTATCTTCTTTCTCAAATGCCTGCAGCTTCCAAGTCCTCTCCCTGGGCCAGAATTTTTCTGAAAAACCCAAACTTTATCCGATAAATGTCTTGAATCCCCACCTGGGTTTGTGTACCAGAGGTGAAATTACGCGCAAGGATAACGATAGTGGCCCGAGATGCGTCCCTTCGTTGCCGAGAGGGTTTTCCTGTGGTGGGTTTTGCCCGAGAAGCTATGCGAGCGTAGCAGAGGCAGTTTCGTCGCAGACGGATTTAGAAGAGGATGTCTCTTTCACGGAAGAAGTCCAAGAGTTGGTTCAGGAATTGAGGAAGGAACAGCGGAAGGAAACTGCGAGGAAGAGATGGGAACGGATAGCGCCTGGAATGGGATGGAGGAAGTATGAGATGTTGAAGAGAAGGCAGGTTAAGATTGAGACTGAAGCGTGGGAAAGGGCAGCTAATGAGTACAGGGAGCTTCTCAAGGAGATGTGTGAGCAAAAGTTGGCTCCCAATTTGCCTTACATGAAAAGTTTGTTCCTTGGTTGGTTCGAGCCCTTAAGGGATGCAATTCACAAAGAGCAGGAGTTAATTAGACAAGGGAAATGCAGGGCAGCCTATGCCCCATACTTTAATCACTTGCCTGCTGACATGACTTGTGTTATCACAATGCATAAGCTTGTAGGCCTTATGATGACAGTTGGGGAGCATGGATCAGCTAGGGTTGTTCCTGCTGCTATTACGATTGGAGATGCCATTGAACAGGAGGTGGGTGATTGTAAAAATTGGTTCTTCATTTGATATGCTGTTTTATGGTTGGAACTTTCTTGGGTTATTTCATGAAAGCCTCCTTTTTTATTACGAGGCAGATCAGGATACACAACTTCTTGGAGAAAACAAAGAAGAAGAAGGATGCCAAAGTTGAGAAAAGTGAAGGGGATGAATCTGGTGTGGTGGAGAAGGAGCAGGAGAAGTTGAGAAGAAAAGTTACTGAATTGATTAGGAAACAAAAATTGCCAGCTGTTAGACGAATTGTGAAGGGTTATGATGAATCTAGACCTTGGAGCCAGGAAGCTAAGGCTAAAGTCTGTTATCTTCTTATCCATGGTGCAATGCATTTCTGTTTCTTTCTTATTCATACATGATAGAGCGCTGTCTTATACCTTCCTCAACTACATTGTAGGTTGGGAGCCGCCTAATTGAATTACTCATACATTCTGCATATATTCAACCTCCTGCGGATCAATTATGCGAAGGTCCTCCTGATATTCGGCCTGCATTTATACATACTGTCCTAAGTATCACCAAGGCGGACAAGTATGTTCTCATACTTTTTTATCTTGCCTTTAATGGGTGTATATTATATCCTTCCTTTTTCTAATTAACCGTGCTTTTATGCCTTGGTTCAATAGGAAGACAAGTAGAAGATATGGTGTCATTAAATGTGATCCAGTGGTTCTTAAAGGGCTTGAGAGAAGTGTGAGTCATGCATCTGTCTTTCATTTTCTTTCTCTTTGGTAATATGTGGGTGCTACGTATTCTTGGCTGTTGTCTGAAACCACTCCTGGAGTAGATGAAATTGTTTTCCTTGCGGGATAGTTGGTAAATTTTGTATATGTTCACAGGCAAGGCACATGGTGATACCTTACATGCCAATGTTGGTGCCACCTGTCAAATGGATGGGGTAAGTGATGTTCTATGCCGTCATGACCCTGCTGCTCTGACGATATGTTATCTGGTTCTGTTCGCAATTAAACATAGTTCATGCCACTCATACCTAGAGTGTTATCTTTTTGAAGTTTGAACCTGAACCCGATAAGCAGCGATTTGCTTTAACAAAATTATCACTAGGGGCATAAGTTAAAGCACAAAAGGATGACACTAACTAGTTCGCTGATACGTCATACATCTATCACTGATTTCAGTTGTGCAATGTACAAGAAACACAAATGGGCCTAGTTAGATTTCAATGAGAGGATTATAGTTAGATTTCAGTAGCCATGAGAAATATCTTCTGGTAAAGGCACAAGCAATAGAAAAGATTTTATTCTCGATTTTACAAAATAAAACTTGTTTATGCCTTTTGGAGTTTAGGTAAGCCAAAGTCTGAACCTTCTACCTTGACCTTTCACTTGTAAAGAAGGGATGTAGGGTGGTTGAGGAAAGACAATTACAGCGTATTCGACTTTCATTCATGTATTGTTCATTTGTACCAACCCAGACAGTTTACAGTAACTCTGGTGTTTACAGTTCCCAGTTTGTGGTAGAAGTTCAGGCCCCCTTTATCTTTGTGGTCCATAATTGGTTTCTGAGGAAGTGGCAGGAACCCCTTAAGATCCTTTGTTAAATTGTGTGCTCCCTAGTTCTTTTATAGTTGAAGCAGCGTATCAGTGTTGCTTGTATCGTATGATACTCTTTAAATGTTAGATTCTTTCCATGCAATGCATTTGTCTCGGTTTGGTTTATTGCATTCTGTATTCTCTTGCCAGGTATGACAAGGGAGCTTATTTTTTCTTACCTTCCTACATCATGCGCACTCATGGTTCCAAACAGCAACGTGAAGCAATGAAAATTGCATCAAAGGCACAACTAGAACAAGTCTTTGAGGTTTTTGAACTATCATGTATACTGGCATGCTGTTTCGATTTTATATGTTATTAGAGATCTGTACAATCAGGTAATAATCATTTGTCTGGGTGAAATTCAGGCCTTGGATACACTTGGGGGCACTAAATGGAGAGTAAATAAAAGGGTTCTTGATGTTGTTGATAGAATATGGAACAGTGGAGGTCGTCTTGCTCATTTGGTTGATCGAGATGATGTGAGTATGCTGCATGTTAAGATTTTATTTATAATCTGTTTCATCCCACTGGTGCAGTCAATGAAACCATTGTCAAACATTTACTGTGCACTGAAGATTTCTTCTCCAATTTGTTCGTCACAGGTTCCTTTACCAGAGAAGCCTGATACAGAAGATGAAACTTTATTAAAGAAATGGAAATGGAAATTGAGAAATGCAAAAAAAGAGAACCGGGAAAGGCATTCCCTCCGTTGTGACACAGAACTTAAACTTTCTGTAAGAGCAACCTGATTGCATGTTTTCAGTACCATTTAAGCATAATGTGACTACTTCATTATGTCTGTTATTTGTTCTCAGGTAGCACGCAAAATGAAGGATGAAGAAGGTTTCTATTATCCACATAATGTTGATTTTCGAGGCCGGGCGTACCCCATGCATCCTTACTTGAACCACCTCGGTTCAGATATGTGTCGAGGCATTTTGGAATTTGCAGAAGGCCGTCCTCTTGGGAATGTGGGTTTGAGATGGCTGAAGATACACCTGGCAAACCTGTATGCTGGTGGTGTGGATAAGTTGTCATACGAAGGTCGAGTAAGCTTTACAGAGAATCATTTGGATGAAATATTTGATTCAGCGGACAAGCCACTAGAAGGAAACCGCTGGTGGTTGCGTGCAGAAGATCCATTCCAGTGCTTGGCAGCTTGTATTAATCTGAGTGAAGCTTTGAGGAGTTCCTCTTCGGAGACCTATGTTTCATATCTTCCCATCCATCAGGTATTTCATCGGGATATTAGCCGTATTTGTTTTAGCTTTTGCTAAAGAGGTGACTTTTTCTCGGTTTTGTAGAATTTAGAAAATTTTGAGTTGGTGGAATACAATATATTATGGTAATGTCTATTTGTATTATTTAGTGATAATATAAGAATAGTTTATGAGATTGTAAGTAATTTGTTGAATTGTAAAACATTGTGTGGATTTTGGAAAATGACTATGGTGGGTGAATAACTTCCTTTTGAAAGAGTTCAAGTCCTACTGGAATTGTTTCAGTGAGGTGTGGCTTTCATATTCCAACTTTTGTGAGATCTGAAGTGAATATTTGTTTTAAGAAGTTAGATTGAAGAAGTTTGTTCTTGTCATTGTAGCATGCAAATATTTCCAGTTGACACTTAGGATTACTGAATAAGTGACAGAATAGGAGATCTTATCTTTGTATTGCTTTGTGGTGAAGATGGCAAAGCCAAAGTATCTTTGGATTGCAGAGTATCTTTTTTTTGCTTTGTGGTGAAGATGGC